CATGAGAAGCGGTCAAGAACGAGGTAGTTTAGAAAAACACCTTTTTCATTTTTTTGCTTACGTTTCGACCTTTATTCGGGTCTTCAAGGCATAAATTGTGGTGCTATTCTTGTGGTGCCATATTGGTTTTGTATCACAACACAATTACACAAAACCCCACAACACATATGACACCCAAGAATAGCACCACAGTTTATGCCCTGAAGATAACACGAACAAAGGTCGAAACGTTACCAAAAATATGAAAAAGGCGTTTTTCTAAACTACCTCATTCTTGACCACTCCTCAGGACTTCAATAAAACTAATAGAAATTTCGTTTTGGGACCTCTAGGGTTTATAGACAGTAAATAGAAATTTTCTTTTGAATTTAAATTCATCGAATTTTTGACCCTTAAAATTTTTCCGATTTTTTAGAAGTCTTTCTCGGAATATAATCTGTTTGAAACGGCTATAATTCAAAAATGGCTAAAAGGATTTTATCGGCAAACATACCATTTGAAAGAAGAGAAACATAGCATTTTAACGACGTAGGTACCATAAAAATATAGAAAAGATTTCTATAAGAAAATACATAAAATAAGAAAATATTTTTGTCAGAAATTAACGCCGTTTTTTAAATGGAAATAATAGTCCGATTTGAATGTTTGAAACGTTATAAAATGCACTTGACGATTTCTTTAAAAGAAATTATCAACTATGAAAATCTGTTTCCCAAGTATCGAGAAAAATGATGTTAGACTTGCACTAGGGATGTCAGTCATGCAAAAAGTTCGTGGAATTATCAGCCCAAAAACGCTAAAATCACGATAACAATGGCAAATCCAAGTTCTGACCATTCTCTGAAAAATTCGGCATGAGTATTTGTTCACCGTTGGATATAGTGTATCAAACATTAAAATTGGACTATTATTTCCATTTAAAAAACGAGGTTAATTTCTGGCAAAAATATTTTCATATTTTATGTACTTTCTTACAGAAATCTTTTATATATTTTTATGCTACATACTTCATTAAAAAGCTACGTTTCTCTTCTTTCAAATGGTATGTGTGCCGTTAAAATCCTTTTAGCCGTTTTCGAATCATAGCCGTTTGAATTAGATATTCCGAGAACGGCTTCATAAAAATCAGAAAAATCAATAAATTTAAATTCAAAGGAAAATGTAGATTTCGGCGTCTCTAGCGGTGCTAAAACGAAATTTCATATTAGTTTCACGAAAAAAATGTCATGACCAAGCTTGCTTGAAAAATATTTGGTTTTTAGAAATTTTTTGGCTACTGATAAACATTGATAGGTTTTACAATAATTATATTCATATCTACAAAAAAAATGTAAAATGATACATCCACATATGTGATTTGAGTATGTAGAACGGCGAAATAAAAATATTAAAAAACCGAAAATTTCAATTTTTTAATTTGTTAGGCGAATCCACGGCCCATTCACAAGAAGTGGCGGATACGTGTCGGATATTTTGGAGCGTAGAATCACTAAAAACAATTTTGTCCAAATCCGCGACCATCCAGGTCGTTCTCTTAAAGAATTTATCAGTACAAAAGGAAATAAAAAAAATAAACAAAGCTTATTTATTATTTACGGTTTATTGTGAGTACGATAACTCCTAATCATGTATGAAAAGATTGTATATCACTCTACAATAGGAAGGGTTCTCCAGCGCATCAGGGAAACAGAGCTTCATACTAGAAGGCCAGGACAGGGTCGACCTAGGTCTACGGACGAGTGAGACGGTACCTTCGTCCATCATCAGGCTCTACGAAACCGCAGCATTACGAGAAACGAGATAAGAAATTATAAGTCCGAAATGTTTCGATTTCCTCCAGAACTGTAAGAAGAAGATCACCATACGGCTCGAAACCTGCTTGTGGACCCTTGTTACCACAGCTCAAAAAATGGCCAGCCATCGGAAGACGAAGAACGAATTTTCTTTACAGATGAGGTGAGAATTGGCCTTAAATGAGATGGGATAATTTCATATGGAGAAGCTCAGGAGAAAGGTAGGCCCTTTTCTACTAATTTTACTTAAATTAACCGATATATTACATACACAATGATATGGTGTACAGATGGCTCAAAAACAAACGAAGGAACCGGATCGGACATTTTCTGTACAAGCCCAAAACATGAGCGGTCAAACTTATTAGGGAAGTACACTTCGGTCTTTCAAGCAGAAATGCATGCCATCAATGCTTGTGCCCTGGAAAATCTTAAAAGAGGATACACTGACAAAAAAATCCTCATAAGATCTGATAGCCAAGCAGCCATTAAAGCATTAGCATGTAAAAGAATCACATCAAAATTGTCAGTGAATGGATCCAAAATCTCCAAAACTGGTGAAAACAACAACCTGATGATATCTTGGATGCCAGGGCACAGAGGAATTTTGGGTAACGAGAAAGCAGACAGACTGGCCAGAGGAGGATCTGCAAGACCATACATAGGCCCCGAACCAATACTTGGGATAACATAACAAATATAGAATCCTCCATCGCAGAATGGATCCAATAAACAAAAGGAGACGTGGATAAACTCTAGCTATGCTAGACAGAGTAAACTTATGATGAAACAACCCTCACCAAGACTGGCAAAATCACTGCTGCAACTGGATAGGGCTAAACTCAGAGGAGTGATAGGACACTATATGGTCACTGGTATTTGAGAAAACATCTACACAACATGGGTATATACAACGATGATCCCATTTGCAGATTATATAAGCCTGCCCATATCATCTTCGAATACGAAGCAACGAATAGCAAGCAAGCTCAATGGAGATTCAACCTAACGTACGAAAAAACTTAGGGAATGAAATTGTAGCAGCGACAGTCAATGACCGATAATTCTAAGGCGAAGGATTGAGTCTATTGCACTGAACTAAGTAACTAGGAAGGTACAATAAACCAGAAGGTTGCGGTACCTGGGGAGTACAAAACTCGCTTCCTAGTACCCTTATCATCATCGTACCATACCCACCGATATGTTCTTAGTGGGTAAAACAAAATAGAAAATACAAACCAAAAAAAAAAAAAAAACAAATTTTTAATAACGGATTTTTCTTAAGAATCTCAAGAATTAAAATTTTATCTACTTAAGAGAAGCAAACGTGAATATTACTCATTTTGCAAGCAAACACCTTTTCTCGTCTTTTCTACATTTTAATACAGTTACATTCTCTTTAATCGTGGAAAGACATCATCTTGAACCAGAAGTTCGCAACATTGTTGCGAGAATGAGTCATTGAGGTCACTGACAAGCTGATATTGAAAAGGCAGTTGGCGTTTCTCAGAGCTTGGTCTCCCTGGCTTTAGTCCGATTCCGAGAGGCTGAAAGTGCCAATAGGACCATCATCTCAGCGCATTACGACCCTAATGGAGGACAGAAATGTTGTCATTGCTGCAAGGAACCCTTTCCATAGACCAGCCAGATCCTAAATGAAGTAAAAGATGTTTTGGCCTTTATCAACACAAACGATTCACAATTGTAATTGGGAAGTGGCCTCACATCGCCCCATTGAGACGACCTGCAGCAACAGCCCGCCACAGAAACTCAGGAGAATTTGCTGCAGCGAGCGCTTAGAATACAATACAAATTGGAATGCTGTTATGTTTACTGATAAGTCGCGTTTCTGTCTGTATAGTGATAGCAAGCGCCGAAAAGTCTACCGATCACAATGCCCCAGTTCGTGCTCCCTGCAGTGCAGTTTGGAGGAGGCGGGGTAATGGTCTGGACTGGGATTTACACCGGAGGACGAACTGGACTCCATATTGTTGTCCGTTACGTCCAAGAAATTATCGAGGAATACATCTCTCAAACCAGCGATCTAATTGGCAGGCATTTTCGATTTCTGGCCAATGCCAGATCTCATAGAGGCAAAGTTTTCATCGATGTTTAGAAAACCGGGGAATTTCCCAATCGCCCCTTTGTCCCAGACCTCAATCCCATTGGACACATACTGGTTTCGTTGCGGAAAAGTTGATCAGATCACCATCCGCAGCTAGTTGACCTGCAATAACTAAATGCAGCGTTGCAACATCAATGGAGAGAAATTCCTCATGTAATTAGTGACCACATTTAACAGCACAACAGGTACACAGAGGAATTACCTATCAGAGCACATTATACACGGTATTAATTGTTTTAAAAATTATTGTGTCCAATAAAGAAAACTATGGAATAAAAACCTTCACATAAAAACATAATAATTACTAATACATTTTAATGTGTGGTGGTTAGTGACGGTTAATCGATAATTATTCGGAAATCGTAAAATGCGGTCTGGTGTGATGTAGGTTTCAGAATCCTACATCCTACATGTATTTGTTAAATGTAAACAATGTTTGTAAATCCCAGGCCCTGAAGATGATCTCAATAAAGATCGAAACGTTGGCACGATAAAGAAAAATGTTTTTCTGAAACCTACATCACACCAGACCGCCTATCACGATTTTTAATACTTATAAATTTTAATGCAATTTATAATGAAAATGCTACGGAAAGTAAATACTCCAAAATTGGCAATACCCCTATTCATTTTTGAGGAGTTTATATCTACTAAATTATATCTACTAAATTATATCTACTAAATATTTATTGTACTTACGAGACTTAATCGAAGAACATGTACTGCCATTTGGTGCGGCCATCTCGATGTCCAGATTTGACCCCAATCGAACACATTTGGGACCGACTTAAGGTCCTAACATACCTAGAAAATTTGAAAATTTAGTGGATCAACTTTTTCGAACCAAAGGTCCTCAAGACAGATTTCGTTCAACTGATTCGATCAACTCTGTTGAGTGAACAATTCTTACCAAAGATTTTGTTCAATTTAAGTCGTCCGACTTTCGAACGAACAATTCTCACGAGAGATTTCTTTCGACTTTAGTTAAAAAGTTAAAATAGAGAGAAGGTGGGAAGGAGACTGTGAGAAGTGTTACAGTCCGGGCGCGTAACGGGCCGTCGGCCGCCATCGATACGGCCGCCCACTATCGATTGTTAAGCCGTGTCCGTCGCCGACTCGCCGTTGTCGAGACCGGTCGAAAATGGACTCGAACGTCCTCAGCCTCGATTCCATCCGGGATTTCATGGTTTTGAAGGGCGGACGAGTGACAAACCACGAGTTGGTTCAACATTTCAAAGAAGTACTGACAGACCCGGTAACAAGAGGTGAGAGTTCAAGTATAACTTTCAGACACTGGCCTAGGCCCAAACCCTACTGCAACCTCCCAATCTACAAATTTCCAACAATATTTATTCGTATTTTATTATTAAAATTATCCTTTGATTTAAATTTTTAATCAATTCTTCGACTAAAAGAAAAAACGTGGCATTTTCCTGTCGTAAAATCGTTCAGAGAGTCGAGTATGTACAGACGTAAACAGATCACGTACCTTGAAACATTTTTCCCCATATCTATTCATTAAAGCCGTATTATTATATTCCTCCTAGTAAACAATACATTAATCTATTTATTTAAAAGTTAAATATAATTTCTTGGAGTATAACGGCCACAAAACATATTCTGGGAACGTTAACACGTCCCCTTCTCTTTCTACAAATTCTCGTTTCAAGTTAAAACTTTTTTAATCCAAATTTTTACTAGATTGTTAAAACATTATTAAATTTCTCCGTAATAAATCAATCATCACTCAAATGTTTCAATTTTTCTTGTAAATTGTCCTGTTTGTGAGTAAAAAGAGACTGCAAAAGTGGAAGGTTACAATTTGTTTACATTGGACCACATTTGTTTACCTATTGAAAAATTTCCAATAAATCTTAATTTACACTCCATTTCTTTTATTTATAGTCTTACTCTGTTAATTAATATTTTTTAAACATTTAATAACAATAATATTTGGATATTAATGGATTTGTGTTAATTTTTTGATCAATTTTTAAACATAGATGTCACAGTTTATGCTCACTGACCTATCTACATAGAAATATTCTTCATTCTGTCATTCATTGTATAAATAGTACATTTATGTAATACATACAAAGGTAAACTATTTATACGTTTGTTAAACTAATTAACAACAATTTTTTTGACATGTGAATGTATACACTTATGTACATTACTTTCCCTAAATATACTTTTAGATTTTACTCCTGAGAACTCCTAACAAAAGACATTTCTACCAGCTTCAAATCTATATAATTAATTATTTTTATGAAGGAATTTGTTTAGTTTTAACATACATAAAAATAAATTTTAAAAATCTATTTTTTTAATTTTGATCTGGTTGGATATTGTAGATATATTAAAATCATTATATATGCGGCAGTTTGACTTTCATGTCGATAAGCTATGTCAGGTTTGTCGGTATGATTGTAGCGCGTTTCTGAATTCATTGTTAAGATGAATAAAAAATACTATATACATTATGCTAATGCTTGCTAATTTTTTTAAGCATTTGAATGTGTATTTTTATGTATTTATTATTAATTCAAATTTGATCTTTGTTTTTAAATGCGCAACAAGAATATTACACATGTATATGGCCATCGGTGGGCAAACGCTGAATGACAATATGTCCCAACTGGTTGAAATTAATATTGAACATATTGTAACATTAGATTTATCCTGTTTTTTGTTAATTGTTGACTAAAATCAAATTTATTGCAAAAGGTGATATATTTTTAATTTATATAATGATGACTAAGAGCTCACTTAATCTGTCATTATTTTTTCGTATCCCTAATCATAAGAGATAACAAGTAGCTCTTAAACTTGCAACTGGGCAAAATGGCATATCTTTATATTACTAAAGGGGAGTTTAAAAAACAAACCAGAAAATTTATAAACATTATTATTCACAGGCATATCACATAACAGTAAGTCATAAGTATAACAATTTTTATTAAACACCAATTTAATTTGCTGGATTAAGATTCTTGCCAAAAATACTAATTTGAACAGTCTCCCTTAATTATAGTAGGACCATAATACATAATTAGATCAATGGGGTGCAGGAACCTGAACTGGTTTCAAAGGCTAATGGTCACTAATTACTTATAAAGAAATATTCTTATTAAACTTGATATTTAAAAATATTTAAATCTCTTAAACTCACACACACACATTCTCTCTCTTTCGCCCTCCCCCTCCCTCTCCCACTCTTTCTCTTTCTAGCACTCCTCTCTCTCTCCCACTCTCTCTCTCTCTCTCCCACTCACTCACTCACTCACTCACTCACTCACTCNTCTCTCTTTCACTCACTCACTCAATCGGTCTTCATTCACTCACTCACTCACTCACTCACTCACTCTCTCTCTCTCTCTCTCTCTCTCTCTCTTTCTCTCACTCTCTCACTCTCACTCTCACTCTCTCCTGTTTTATTTCCCTTAAGGGAATCTGTTCCCAGGACATATAAAATTTCTCTCTCACTCACTCACTCATTCTCTTAAAAAAAAGGAGTGGAAGTACACTGTCTTTCAAAACAATCGCAACCTCCACCTTCATAACAATAAACAAGTCATTCGAGGTGAAAGGGAAAGCTTTTGCCTAGTACCTGACCACAATGTTCACCCCACATGCCCAGATCTTAGACCGTACTCATATTTTCCATTATCCCTCTCTCCTAACGCATTTTCTCCTTGGTGGAGGGCAAAGTGTAAATTATTAGATTTTGCATTTTGAAGCGTTCACGGTCAATTTTAATTATTATAAGTATTTAACTAGGTCAAGTTTATTCTAGACATGTATAGTGATTAGTGACCGTTAATCGATATTTATTTAGAAATCGTGAGATGCGGTCTGGTGTGATGTAGGTTTCAGAAAAACATTTTCTTTGTCGTGCCAACGTTTCGATCTTTATTGAGATCATCTTCAGGGGCACTCTCGACACGACACGCAAGGATGGCACAATTACACAGAAGACAAACACTTTGAGCCCTGAAGATGATCTCAATAAAGATCGAAACGTTGGTACGATAAAGAAAATGTTTCTCTGAAACCTACATCACACCAGACCGCATCTCACGATTTCTAAATAAATATTTATTCTAGACTTATTATAACACCACTATCTGTAGCAGATTTAGCTAAATCGTCCGCTAATCTTCCCATCTGCGTACTGAAGGTTGGCCGCTCATGTAAATGTTGTAAAGCAAGAACGTAGAGCGCAATGTCGTTGGCATATAGGGTTAATTGGCATAACCAGGCTTGGATGAAGCTTTGGAAGATAATGTGGGCCCCAAAACTGAGCCTTGAGGATTGACTCAGGTTGAAGAGGGGTTGAGAGAGTGAGAGACCTGTTTAGCGCAATACGAAAGGACCTTATTTGAAGAAATGAGAGTACAGTATTGACCACTATATGTTGTGAAATTATGCTCAATCGTACGGAAAAAAATCCCATTTTAAGTGTTACTGTTGTTAAAAGCCTTTTCAAGATCTAGGAAGACTAGATCTGTGTTGTATATGATAAGAAAGACGATTGGTCGTTAATTTTTTATTGTTAATATTATTTTTTGTTTATTTCTATCATGATTATTTCTTCTTTTTTCCATTCTTTATGGTAATTGTTAACATCCATGGAACAACCATACTTGTTAACAACGAGTGGTTTTTCGTTTAGCTTGTAAGATCAATGTGTCAATTTTGAACATAAGCATTTAATTAATTGGTTAATTTTTTTTCAGATGAGGCGCGTATTAGGTTCAAGGAATACATCAACACCCTCGCCACACTCACAAGAGATTCGGAAGTGAGTAAAACTTTATTTCAAATAATAATCTAATACGATTGACTGATAAGGTTATCATTTTAAGTGTGCGATAACCGATAAGGACACACTCGGTGTTCTATTTGGTTTATTGTTTGTTGTGGCTTTGTTTGGATTGGAAATATAAATTTTGTAGTTGTGGTTTTAGGATAAATTGGAACTTGATTGGTGAGTCAGTAGATACTTTTCTTAATTATACGTTCACCACTAATCACAATTATTCAAGTTACTGTTGGATAATGGTTGTGTATTGTATTTTTTTATATCACAAGTTTGTTGAAATATACTACAGTAAAAGCTAAGCTGTACAGCAGAAACAAAGTAATTAATGGAATTAGCATTCAATACCCTAAGGCCTAACTTATTCCGATTCCTGTTAAATGTGCTTCATCCGCATCTTTTCTTATTTTTTTGTTGTTTTGTTTTATCGTATGTTAACTGGACCAGGCATTAACATATTGTTGCCGAGCAATTACTTGTCCTGTCTCGAGAGTACACTGACAAGCATATTGGAAATTGAAGGATCTTGACCATGATAAATGAACCATGACTTTGATGAATTACTTTATTCCTATTAAGACATTTTATGGCGTGTATTCTAATTAGTAGCTGTGCAGGGATCCGTTGTGTATTTGATCGCGTTATTAATGGTATGTGTAAGTGATGAAACCCGTTTTTGTACAACTGAACACTGATTATAATCGTAACGTACATACCTAACCTTCATGAACCACACGCACCGAAATTATTGCATTAATTTAAAAAAAATTCATTTTTTTGTTGAAATAACAGTAGAACAGTCACTTAAGTAGTATATACCAGCAGATAGGAAACAGCAATAAAATAATAGAAAATGTTAAGTTGAAAAAATATATAATTAATTATAATTACAAACTTGAATTGAATTGTGCCAGGGAGGAAAGCAGCTTGTGCTCAAAAAACGATTCCGTATGTCACATCCGGAGCTGCAGTCCGGCTCGACATCGCCTGCGATTCCGTCGTCTCTTCCCATCTCGCCTCTTCAAGCACCGAGTTTAAACTTGCAGTATCAGCCCGTGTACCACACATCACATGACTCTATAGACAGCCTGGTCTCTCCGCTGCGGCACACGTACCGTCGTCTTTCCCAGGACTCGCTCGGGTCATATTCCCTGAAGTCCCCGGTCACTCCTACCTTGACGACACCTACTTATAAAGGACCTATCGCCGCTCCGATCGGCCTGAAGAGGAACATATCACAAGACTCTGTGTTCGGATCTTCGATTTTCGAAGCGTCGACTTCCTCGATGAAAGAAGCAGACCCTCCTCCGGTTCCTCCGCGGAGGAAGAGCAGCGACAAAATGCGATTGGACTACCCACCAGAAGAGCAAAAACCGGTTGAATCGGCTGTTGTGCCAAGCAGCGCGCCGCCTCCTCAGGAGACCCTTCCGACTGATATTGAGAACAAGGTAACAATTAACAATATATATCTTCCTATCTAATATTTCTATCTTTACCTTAAAAATCTTAAAAAAGGTAAATTGGTTCACTACAAATTTCCGAAAGTGGTACCCAGTTTGAGAATGATTCGACTGGTTATTGAGGAAGTTAACTTCTAGGAAAAAACTTGACTTTCAAATAATGATCGTTTTCTACTTCCTATGCGGATTCTCGATGTTCCATTATTACCGGTAATTTGATTACTGATTTATACGCGTATGTACAATGTGCACACGCATCTAAATACATACACGCGTGTTCACAGTTGAGCCTATCACTTCTCCCAGTTTACCGAAAATTCTAACTTTAGTCCCATTATATTTAGTGGTCCGCATGACCAAATTACTTCTTTCATTTAATTAAGCTTTTTATGTAAGGTCTTGGTTGAAATGAAAAAATTAGGGCCACGAGCGGGATTCGAACCCAACCGAAGGTCGTAACCTAACTTTTACATTTCAACCAAGACTTTACATAAAAAGATTAATTATTTGAAATTTACCATGAATGGCAGGCACCAAGTGTCAACCAACCCATATGATGGCAGTCCGGGTTCAGACCTCCAGAGGCACCATAGGCTACCAACAGCTAGGTCATTTCAGCCCTCAATGCAATCAATTCCTAACATCAAACCCATTCACTCTTTCTCAGTTTTAAATATATCATTTCTTATTTACATACCATTCACCCAATTAGGGGGTAGAGAACTCGATGTTTCTCCATCTCATTTTACACCTATTATATTACTTACCTAATTGGGGGTCGATGAGGTACTGAATATCAGCTATCGTCTTCTCACGCGACACATTCACGTCAGTAAATACATTCACTCTCACTGCAAGGTACTCAAAACTATCATTATTATGTACAATATCATAAAACAATCCTGTTTTCTAAAAAAATCGAACAGGGGATCCAGATACTCGATGCCGTGCTCGAGCACGATTCTTAAGCCTGGTGGCATTCTTATATGCTTTCTTTAGGAATTGTACACTTCAACTGGGGGGGGGGGGGGGCACATCTAGCTACCTTTCTTTACAAACCGGACACATACGTGGGTTTCGGCCCAAAACTAAGTGACCATGTGTCAATCAATAGGTACTATACGTATGTACACATGTACAAATTTGAGCCTCTCATTTCTCGCAACCACCGGTTGAAAGAAAATTCCATCGTTAGTAATTTACAATGAATTACCGGCGGTCTCGACGATCAGACACCACGTGTGTTGGCTCGGGTCAGACCTCGGCCTTACAATTCGTGTTTCCTCAAAAATCGAATCAGTGGACCCACATTCTTTGCTCCAGTGCTTAAGCACGATTTTCATGTAGGTTTGCTTTCCAACTCGCTCTCTATATGGAGCCGAAGAATTGCCCCCTTCAAGTGGGTTGGACATATCGAGCAACCTTTCTCTACATAACGGACACATACGTGGGTTTCGGCCCAAAAGTAAATGTCCGTGCGAGAATCAATTGGTATTTGGATTTTGGATTTACATAAGGTAAACACGTGCATTCATATTATACATGTACAGAGTTGATCCTATCATTTTGTCTTAAAAAAAAAAAATCGAACTCAACCATGATTCTCAGGTAGGATTGCTTCCCTACTCGCTCTCTATATGGAGCCGAAGAATTACCCCCTTCAAGTAGGTTAGACATATCGAGAGACCTTTCTCTACATAACAGACACATACGTGGGTTTCGGCCCAAAAGTAAATGTCCGTGCGACAATCAGTTGGTATTTGGATTTTGAATTTACATAAGCTAAACACTTGCATTCATATTACACATGTACAGAGTTGATCCTATCATTTTGTCTTAAATTAAAAAAAAAATCGAACTCAACCATGATTCTCAGGTAGGATTGCTTCCCTACTCGCTTTCTTTATGGAGCCGAAGAATTGCTCCCTTCAACTAGGTTGGACATATGGAGCAATCTTTCTTTAAATAACGGACACATAAGTGGGTTTCGGCCCAAAAGTAAATGTCCGTGAGACAATCAATTGGTATTTGGATTTTGGATTTACATAAGCTGAAATCTACACGTAAATGTACATACATATTACACATCTCTACAGCGTTTCTTAAAAAAAAATATAAAAAAATTAATTAAATCGAGCTCAACCATGATTCTCATATAGGATTGCATCCCTATCGCTCTCTATATGGAGCCAAAAAATTGCAACCTTCAACTAGGTTGACACATCGGGCAACCTTTTTTTCTACATACCGGACACGTACGTGAGCTTCGGCCTAAAACTTAGTGTCCATGTGTCAACCCATTGGTTTTAATTCTTCATTATGTTACATTTTTTAACATTGATGTTGAGGTTTGAAATTTTGGTACCTTTCAACATTGATTTAGAACTATATGAATCGTGAATCAAATAGGTGAGTCTGATGCCCTTACGACTCATCCACTGCGGTCAAAAATGTAAATTTAGTTTCTTGCCGATTTTTTTTCTGCGTTGTAAGCGTACGTTTGAAAAGGATTTTTATTTGAGGCCATTCGGTTGTTATCGTTACGCCGGATCGTCATTCTTCCGGCACTGTAATATAACAAAAACCAGACAGTACGTAGTGAATCGCTTAACAAAGCTAAACACAAATATTTCCATGTTTTGATTGACCTGTTTTGTTTTACCTACAATGTTTAATCACGTACAGACCCGGGTACGTGATAAGCCATGTTTTCAATTTGATTGACTAATTGTAAACTTTCCGTTCAAACGCAAACGATGGATTTGAAATGTGGTAAGTCACAGTTGAGTTTTTACATTTGATTCGCTTGCTGACCTAGTGCTTGAGCTGCTTTTTGTAGTTGTAGTATTTGCATTATATACCTCGTGTAACGGCCAGTGTTGTTTTAAAGTGGGTATTCATAATAACGGCTCTTGCGATATTATCTGGTAATTATCAACAACAAAATTTTCGTCAATAGATTATACTAAAGCCCACCTAGAGGTGATGTTAAATTGGAAATTGGTTTTCATTTTAATTAAATAATAATGCGGGTGGAAACGAGCCGTTCGACGTTTGATACTCCCAGGGGTTGAAAAGTTAGGACCGCCGCTTAATCGGCTGAGTTGTCACTGTGCCCCCAAATAATCCTCAATAAAGTTTCAATTCACTTCGAAAACGATAAAACGGATAACTCCTCGTTCACCCCCAAAAAATATATATAGAGAAAAAAGTGCAACTGGAAGGGTGGACTGTACAAATTTGGTCCTAGGTATTAAAGGCATTCCGTGTTTTAAAATGAAAGCTTTTATGTGTTATACCGCCACCGTTAAATTAAAACTTTATACCTGGCGATCGAAAACGTTTTTGGATTGGCCCTGGCGGGCTTTTGACAACTTCACTCTAAACCCCTTTTTCCGTCTAAAGACACAAAAAAAAAGTTTGACCGGTAATCTGTGATTTTCAGGAAAATGTAGCGGACGAAAACAAGATAAGCGTGAAGGAGCGGATGCAGAAGTTTGATAGAATGGCCTCGGAAAGCGCACTCAACAAAACTTCTCTACAGAACAACAATAGCAAGAAGAGACACGAAAGGGTAGGTGTCAGACAAAATAACTTTATTTATATCAATGTGAAAAGTTTCTCTACAAAAAGATCCTGTGTCATTGGAGATTACTTCCAATGTTGTGATCTGTATTATTGTAAGTGCGCCTTCTTTTGCTCAATTTCTGTGAAGAAAGTAAACTTGTCTTTTCTGGGGGTGACAACCTCGACCTTATTTGATGGAAAAATCGACCTACTTTCGGAACAATTCTCTTTGAAACCCTTTTTTGACCAAAGTAATGAAAATTTGTGTTCTTGTTGTTTGTAGACAATTTCCTACATTTACATTTCGAAAATATGCTTTTAAAAAATAATATTTTAAATTTTAATTTATTTTTCATTTATCAGTTTTGTTTTGACAATTTCTAATTGGATTCTATAATTCATGTTTACAAAATAAGCTCATCTATCGAAGGATTTTATAAAAAACAACTAAATATTTATTACAATTAATTAATTAGATACTTTTAAAGAGTACCTTTGGGCAACAAACGTACTTTCCTTTGGTTCATCCTTGTTGTGAATGCACTAGGTTTGATCTCAATTTTGTTTTACTTCTTGTGGGGTTTGGTTTAATTATTTTTAATTCAACGATCAAGGAATGTTTTTTTTTAAAATTCCGCTGTGGAAGCAGAAAATCTGAAGTAAGCCATTTTACCCATAATAGTTATGTACATTTCCATCCGTTAAGTTATTTAAAAAACCTACAACAATCAAGAAAACTTGAAAAATTGGAAATATTTCCTTACAGAAAAGGGAGAAAATCCTCTGGTAGAAAAACGGCGGAACCGTTATGTGTTACGGAAACGAAGGAAGCATTATTATTAGCAATTATTTATTTATTATTTAGCAATAACTGATAGTGATTCTATAATATATGTGATATAATTATTTATTTCAAGGGAATGTTATAAATCAGTGATTAAGGGCCTGATCTGGGAATTTCTTCAAAAGCATATTTCATAAAATTATTTTGAATACATTCTGTGGTAGGATTTTTATTTGGTCATACCATATTGTCCACAAAGCGAAGTCTATCATTATATGTGTAAAGATGATCCCCAACCAGTAGGTGTTTCGTTAAAACACAGTTATAAGTGAGATCTGAGAATTTCTCCGAAGTGTACTTTTCATTAAGGTAATAGGACACTTACGGTCATCGGGTTTTTTATTCCGTTTATACCATAATGTCCAGAAATCGAACTCTGCGATAAATGATAGTAGTTTCGTAAAAAAACTCAGATATAGGGCTGGGATAGGGATAAAAGAGGCGGCCGCAAGGCCTTCTGCACCTCAACCTGAGTAGATCTATTGTGCTCCTGTTTTTTATAACTCACTGACCAGCTTCAGGTTGTTAATCAACCTCCTTGCCAACGGCTCCTTGTTGTAGGGTCTTACTTGTGGTTTTTCCTGCCCTAGTTGCAAAAACTTGCACCTACTTCACATAAACATAAAATGTATTCTGCGGTCTCCTCCTCTTCCTGGCAGTATCCGCACAGTGTTTCTTCTGTCTGTACTCCTATCCGGTGGATGTGCTTTCTTAAGTGGCGGTGTCCTGTCAGGGATGGTTAGGTCAGGAGTCCAACCAGAATCCTTGTTCGGTTACAGTTCCCTTCCGGTATTGTTTTGTAAGTTTTGCGGAGGGCCCTTCTATGAAAATCTTCGCGTCCCTCATGCCTGTGGTATTGTTTTGGACCCATTAAGGATTCATTTTAAGATGTATCCTCTTTTGTGGCAGGATGTTAAGCGACAGTAGGGTTCAGGACCTAGCAAGTCCGTGTTGGCTCCCTCTTTGGCCAAAAGTCAACCTTTTCGTTGCCTCTATGCCCCGAACGCCCAGGGACCCATGCCTTAGTCAGATATTGTCGCTGACTACCGTGAGGGACTCCATGCAATTCCAAACACCCTTTGCCTTCAACTCTCATGACGCTAGGCCCTTAGTGTGCTGCCTGACTGTCTGAGAAGATGGCTATCTTCCGGGAATGTATTCCTAACCTTTTTATTTCCTTGGCGCACTGTTCAATCGCCATGATTTCAGATTTGAAAACTGTAGTATATTTACGTAGGTTTACCGTCAGTTCGGTCTTTGAATTCATCCCGAAGACTCCAGTGCCCTTGTCGGTTTTGGAAACGTCAGTTAGATAGATCTAGGAATTTCGGTGTATTTCATGAAATTGTTTATACCATTTACGGTGATAGGATTTTTACTTTCTTTATACAAAGTTGCCCAGAAAGCGATGTCTATCCTGTTCTGTGTAAAAATGATCTTCACCCCGTAATTTGTTTGTTAAAAAATTCAGTTATGTACGAGATCTGAGTATTTATTCAAAATGGTCTTTTCATGTAATTATTTTGTAATATGAATCTGAATATTTATTCACAGTGCCCATTCTGTATAATTATTTTGAACAATCCTACTGATCGGGTTTTTATCCTGTTTATAACAAATTGTCCAGAAAGCAAAGTGTATCATGATCTACGAAAAATTGATCTCCAGCCCAGTAGCTGTTTCATTAAAAAAAAATTCTTCTCGAAACACTTTTAATGAAATTATTTAGGACACGTCTCTTGATCAGATTTGTATTTTGTTTATGCCAAATTGTCCAGAAGGCGATATCTATCATGATCTGCGTAAAGATGATCTCCTACCAGTAGTTTTTTTTCTCGAGATATGAATATTTCACCAAAGAAAATTTTTCATGAAATTATTTTGGATATTTCAGTGGCGATCGGATTCTTATTTTGTTCGCACCAAATTGTTCAGAATGCTCGTCTAACATGGTCAATAAAAGTCAATTTCCAACCGGTAGTTGTTCGATTAGAAAAATGACGGACCAAATTTGAGAATTTCTACAAAGTGCACATTTCAGGAAATTATTTAGGGCAATTTCAGTTTTATACCTTACCAAGTTTATGTTAGGTTTGATACTAGTAGTCTGCTATAATTTGCGTAATATTTGTCAAGGACCAGTAGTTGTTTTGTTTAAAGAAATCTAAAAAGAAATTAATTTTTAAACCTCATTAATCAAAGGCCTTCCTCGAACTCTATTTGGACCTTTATTTCTTGGCCGAGTTGGATCGCAGACCGCCCACCGAGATCGTGAGTCGGCCCGAACTGAACACAATAGACAATCGGAGCTGGTTGTCACATGCTGTCTTAGGTGCGAGCATAGGGCCCAAATTGCCTCCAAACAACATCCATCATCCCTCTATTTACATATACTGACGCCCCTCTGGCACTGCCACTCAAATCCCGTATCTTAAACCGCATCTGATATATTTTCAATATAGCCCGAGGAGTCCTTAGCCGAACATCAGGGAGTCGATTTCTTGGCTGTCTATTACCCCAAATGGGCTCGGTGTATTCGATGAACAGTTGGAACAATGACGGATCGTTATCTCAATGATAAAATCCTACAGTTTGATCTGCTTTCGTTTTAATTGACATTTATCATTACAAATAACGAGCACTTTCATATTGATTTTAGTCGATTTGTAATCCTTCGGTGTCATTTAGCGTGCTATTGACCAAACTCACTCATATCCTAGAATGTTGTAAATTACTACTTCCTAATTTCTCATGTTTCCACACCCGAGCCATTTGCAAATTAAATTATCATAAAATAGGTAATAATTGTTAAGGTGTAATATTTAGAAAAGAGCTATTCACTATTCAACCTTTATTTTTTATTGCTTATATGTCCAGACTTTTATATAGAATAGCAGTTGAACAAGAATAATGTTTGTTAAACTCCTTTTTATCTTTACAAATAGTATATTCATATTCACGCATATAATTCTTGACATGTGGTGAACAGTAACATTCCTCACACCATGATAATTATCAATTGATTATCAAACATGTGTCAGATATATCTACTTAGGAAAACAAAATTCAGTAGTAACAGTAAATAAAACCTAATAATAGGGGAATTCCCGATCTTTGCATTAACCCTGTTAAGTCTGTTAGGTCCTTTTCGATCGAGAAAAATGATGACGTAGATTACGATACGTATTGCAAGAGTCGGATAGTTAATATTGCTCGATCTAACAGGCCAGCGCCAATGTTAGATGTTAGGTCGAAAATGTAGTCACATTGTTATCCGTTAGGGCGTAGGTAACCAACATGGCAGCTATGAATTTAACAGCTGTTTTTTGTTTACACGTATTTTTATTCTTAGATACCCATTAATTATATCAGAACAATACATTTCTTTCGTTAATTTCTGACCTGTCTTTATACTCTCATTCGTAATAGGTACATCTCGTATCCTATGGAGGTGTAGGCTGTTACACCTTATGATACAGGATAGGTATGTGGGCACGAATTGTAGCGTGTCATTTGTTAGTACTTTTCGAGTGCATAAATAGCATTTTGAATGAAACAGTTGATTAATTTTCCTTTTTTATTTACTTACAATGCAACTTACAATGCACAAATGAAAACAAAACCAAACAAGTCTTCAAGGACTGTTATATTTTTATTTTTGGTTCTACCAATCGCGATATGCAGCGTTGCGGAAAATTTAACGTTTAACATGTTAAGAAAAGAAGGGGGCCTTCACGATCTTACTAGACATTTATCTATTCGAGTTAACACGGGTTAACATCTTACAAGCAATGTGAATACCATTAATGTATTTGGCTTGTATGTCGAATTGCGCTGTCTATAGGTATACCTTATTTGTTCAAGCCGTCTTCCATGTCTCGAAGGTGGTTGAGAACAGTCCCCTGAATAAAGAGGTTTGTCATAAAATATTGATGATGTTGACAGTATTTAGTAGTCATTTTCTGGATATTTGGTATGTCCAAAGATTGCGGTCTAGACGAATAATGCGGTCCCGTATTTTTTACTTTATTGGTTCGAAAATTTGATGCTGACGACCACATAGAGAATCTGCATTGCTTGTATTGGCTGGATGACCAACTGCTAGATATTAGTTCAAGCTACTAGAAAATAGATACTAGGAAAAAGGACGTGATATCGATTTT